AAAAAAATGATACTAAGACAGATATTAAGGTATTTTAAATAATAAAAATTATTCTACTTGTGTACAATGTTTTTTTTTTTTTAATTATGTATCATCACAATAATGCTTTATAAATCATATCGCATGTTCTTAAATACAGTATATCAAATGTTGTATTTTCATTGATATCCGTTATTATGTTGTTGGGAGACCTTTACTATTAGCAAGCACCAGTCTTCCTAAGCATTAACTTGTTTGTCCATTTTTAAATGTTGCCCCTTTTTTTTTAATGTATGGTGTTTATTTTTTATTTTTCTATGTTTTGGAACGTTACTGTACTTGTATTCCCAAACTATTATGAAATAATAATAATAATAATAATAACAATAATAATAATAAAACTCTTACGCCCTTTGTACCACATCGAAACCAAGAGAAAAGTGAGCACACAATATAAGTAACACTTAAAATTTTTACTTTCCATTGCCTAGATTGAATTATATTGTTATGTATTGCCTAATTAAAATATATTTATATTTATCTTTTCAGCTTCTTTAATTGTTACGACGCAGGATGAAAATCAGATACTATGGTGAGATATGTTTACATCTATCCGGTTTTAATCGATATGCAAGCTACATGGAAACAGATGAACAGATGAACTCGTCATTTTGTCTCTGCATTCCTGCTGTTACAGACAGTTTTGTTTGTATTTTTAAAGAGACCTGGGACTTTCAGATGATGGGAAATTTATATTTTCTCTGAATCAACTTACTATTGAGAACAGATTGTTCAAAACCCCATACCTTTTTGTGAAAATAAATTTACACACTAATTACTGCACATATTAACACAAAGCGCAATAACATATTTTGTTGTGCAGTACTATAATATAGTGTGAATATATTGAATTTTCTACTTACAAAGTGCAATAGCAATTTCTAGAAAAATAACTGTCAGTATTAAGCTGATTGCATACCTTTAATTTGGATTCCTGATGATGTCATAATTAATATCAAAGTATTGAATCCCTAAACTTTGAGTAAGTATTATTCTGTATCCAAGATTAATCAGTGGACCTTTCGGTTTAATTTGGATTCTTGTATTTTTAAAGGTTTATTTTGTTCATTAAAAATATAACATGTAAAAAATAATGTTTGTGTCTATTTGTAAACTGAAGTGTAAGAAGAATGATGATTGTAAATGATACTGGCTATTTTTACAGATGAATATTGGATCATTGTTTACATTTATTTATATTTTAAATTTTCTTTATTTTAGAGCCATCCTAATTATTGCCATCAAAATATAAAATGTTATTCAATGCAAGCCTGTATTTATTATATATTAGCTGAATAAAAATAATATATATATTATACAAGTATAATTTTAACAGTTATCAACATTAATGCAGCAAAGCCTATCCAAAACCCCAATAAAATCTAGGCCTAAATCTAGGCCTAGCGCATGTATAACCAACGCGTAAAATTGCGCGTATGAGCCCGTGGAGTTGTCAAGAACGCCTAGTAAAGCCAAAATATTTGCTGTTTTCAATCGAAATTTTTTAAAAATCGGAAAAAAGTTGTCAGGCCAATATTTCACAGAATACGGGAACAGACACTGATTGTTCATTGGCGACCAACGATAACATCCAGAAAAATTGCACAATTTTGTACAACGACGATAATTACGACCATGTTTAGCGATATTAACATTTACGGAGTTAGGGCGTTGTTTGTTTACATTTTTACTGAAGACCGGCCTTACTTTTCTCGTTAAAATTCATGATTTATATATATATTCATGCATTGAAAAATTTTGTTTAGTAGCTGATATAATAATTAGACAAACAGAACATGGATGGGGGGATATTATACTCATATATTATTTTTAGCACAATTCTACTATGTACCAAAAAATGCAGTTCCACTAGGGTCGCACGATCCCAATCGCGACATGAGTGTGTTCGTTCGAGGCTTGCGGTGCATAAATATCTGAAAGGCGCGTTGAAAACACTTATTGTCCAAATATAGTGCGTATGAAACCGCTGTGCTGCAGTCAAATCCAGGTGTGGGATGGTCTGTTTCTTTAATGGGGCCACTCTCGAACGGCTATTGAGAATGGAACAGTTGACAGGTTCACTTACAGATATAATATATATGGCGATGCCATATCCTTTCTCACTCGCGTCAACAAAGACGTGCATCTGGTGACTGCTAGCAGAACTTGTGTCTAACCACCTTGGTACGGTATGATTATTGATAAGGGGCATCTCACTCCGCCATTGGAATTACATCATTCCATCCCTTGACACTATGTATGTCTTCCTGAAGTATCAGCCTAGCAGGAAGAATAGCGGGGGCGAGTAGTCCCATCGGGTCGAACACTGAGCTTAGTGTTGACAGTAATCCTCTCTTAGTCAGTCGGTTGCCTGTATTTCAATTCAATTTAATTCAATTCAAAATAAATTTGGTAGCGTGAAACACAGCAAATCATTTTCCGGGTTCCACTGGACTCCTAAAGCCATCTCCATTGGCAAACCGTTCTCATTTAGAATTAACTCTTGCAGTCCTTTAAATCTGCGCTCTTTAGGTATTGATCCTAGCACCTCCATGTCGTTACTTGACCCTTTAGTCAGGTTAAATCCACCTCGCTCACATAGGCCTGTTACTTCTCTAATGAAGGTCATAGCTTCTTTTCGACTATCGACACTTTTCAAGAAGTTATCAACATACACGTTCTTGAGTACTGCCTCTATGGTTTCCTGTCTGTGTATTTCCTTACCGTCAATAGTTGATTGCTTGAGAGCAGAGTTGGCACATGCAGGAGACGACGTAGCTCCGAACACGTGTACCTGCATACGGTATTCCTCTGGCTTTAGACTTAGATTTCCATCAGGGTACCACAAGAATCGCATGAAATCCCTGTCCTTGCTTGGTACTAAAACCTGAGAAATCATTAATTCTACGTCTGCTATCAACTCCACTTTCCCTTCTCTAAATCTTAACAGCACTCCCAAAAGGTTGTTAGTAAGATTTGGTCCAGGTAGTAAAATGTCGTTCAGTGCTACACCCTGACATCTTACAGCACAATCGTAAACAATGCAAAGTTTCTTCTTCTGGGGGTGGTAAATACCATGGTGTGGCATATACCACACCATTCCTTCATCAAAGTTAACATCCTCCACTTTCTCGACATAGTGCCTTTCCAGTAGGTTGGTCATAAAGGCAGTGTATTCCCTGTGGAACTCTGAGTTGCCCTTTAACTTATTTCTGAGTAGAACAAGCCTCTTCTCGGCCATTAACTTGTTATTCGGTAATGTCGCTGATTCCTTCGTATACGGCAACCCAATACAGTAATGTTTGCCTTCCTTCGACATAGTTTGTTTGATTCTGGACATGAACATTTTGTCCTCAACTGATGGCTGTCGTCGTGTGTCTAATCCCTTTTCTGGGAAATCAATATCCAATGCCCGTCTAACAATCTGACCTAATCTACTATATTTTTCAGCTTTAATGAATCTTCTTAATTCAGTCCAGTGAACTGGGTAACAACTAGCCTTAGAATCCTTTTTTACTAGATTCCATAGGACCAAGCCCAATCTTGTCCTGGTTGCTCGGGGCGTTCCTATAGGTCCTGTCCTGATGTCTAGTGGCGTGTATGCACTAGCTACCCTCATTCCAATCAAAAACTCGTCGACTTGTCTTATTTTCACTCCACGAGTCAATTTGTCAACATAAAAATATATAAAAAAAAATTCTAAATTCATAAAAATTCTATTAAAAAAACTATGAAAATTCTATTAAAACCCTATAGAAAGTCTATGAAAATTTTATATAAAAAAAACCCTTTAAAAACAATATAAATTCTGTAAAAATTTTTATAAAAAACCTCTTATAAATCTATAAACACTATTAAAAATCTATTAAAACTTCATAAAAATCTATTAAAACTCTATTAAAAATGTATTAAACTCTATTAAAAATCTATTAAACTATATAAAAATATATTAAAACTCTATTAAAAGACTTAAATATCTATAAACATTCTATGAAAAAACTATGAAAATATTATAAAACTCTATAGAAAGTCTATAAAAAATTTATATAAAAAACTTTTAAAAACTATAGAAAATCTATAAAAAAATTTTTATAAAAAACAACCTGTTATAAATCTATAAACATTTTATAGAAAAACCTATTAAAAAAAATTAAATATGCGAATAGTAATTTGTATAGAAAGTGTATAATAATAATAATAATAATAATAATAATAAGATTTATTAAGCGCACATCTCCACTAAAGTGCTCAAGGCGCTTGTGAAAACCATGAAAAAGCTTATCCTTTTAAACTAAAGGCTACCAGAAAAACGACCATAACCCACATCACTGCTTCCGTTTACCAGCAATTTAAGGTGCAAAGACCGGCTAGTACATGACTAACAGGTGTTCTCAGTTTTGTGGGCATCTAACTAAACAAATTAAAAAACAAAACAAAAAAAAAATCAATTCACAATAAATTAATTTCCTTGAGCAACAAAAAATAGATGTGTTTTCAGAGCACGTTTGAACAAAGCAGTCGACGAACTTGATCTTATTTCAAGAGGTAATCTGTTCCACAAACGGGGGGCCGCAACTACAAAAGATCTGTCACCCCATGACCTCATAAACCTGGGCTCAACCAGCAATTGTCTATCACCTGAACGAAGATTTCGTGATGGCACATGCCACACCAAGAGACTACGTAAATACTCTGGACCTTCACCGTTTAGCGTTTTATACGTGATTAAAAGGATCTTAAAAACGACCCTATAATACCTGTCTCTTATACACATCTAGATGTGTATAAGAGGACCCTATAATACACAGGCAGCCAGTGCAATTGTTGTAGAATTGGAGTAATGTGGTCAAATTTCCTC